AGCTGCAGGAACACTTGTATTTTGGGAAAGTCGCTGTCATATCTGTAAAAGCCTTGTGAAGCCATGATTCCTCCCTTCAAAATGGGATTCATTCCTGAAGCACCTCAGCAGTGTGACTTCTGCACTGGCAGCAGAATGACTTTTCCATTCCCCCACACCACGAGGCCTTAGAGCAACAATATTCACTCTTTGTTCTAACAGTCAGTCCCACAAAATTAGTTGCTAACAGACCACATAGAAATGTCTAAAGAAGACAGGCACTGAGCAGGAAGGCAGCGTGCCCCACCTTTGCTAACAAACAAATCTGAGTGTCCCCAAAGCTGCTTTTCACAAAAGAGATTGGATGAAGAGAATGGGTGAATCCAGGATTCAGGGACATTTAGTAACCTTACCTAATGGTTTGGAATGTCAGGTATTTCCCCTTGAATACTGGCTCTTTCCTGGGTTACGTCACCTGTTCCCGGAGTGTTGCTTTGTAGGGTTCCACCTGCCCCTTTTGTGATTTTGATATGCATATTATTATTGTCCTTGCCTGTGGAATTTTCCAACTCTGTCTGTAAAAACTAGAAACCTCGTGGAGATCAGCCCTTACTCTCCTTTCTCCTCCTCCTCTTCCTCCTTCTTCTTCCCCTTCTTCTCCACTTCTCACACTCCACTTTTTACCCTCTCCTGAAAAAATAAAGAAATGCAGAGGTAACGTGCTTGAGGTAACTTTTATCCTTAGATCCTTGCTTGCCATAAACATTCTATTCTGAGCCCTGAGGGGGTACTCAGGCTGGTACTCAAACCCCCTGATAGGCTGGAAGAGCTGTCTCTGAGAGTGACCCCCGCACCCCACCCACAACACAGTAGAGCCGGCCTTGGTGGTGTAGGTGTGGGTGACTGAGAAAGCTGGACAACCGGCCCTGCCTCTTGCTCCTTGCTCCATAGGGTGAACTAGCAAGGCTGTGCTTCAGAGCTCCCCCTGGTGGTGAGGATTGGGGAGAGCTGGCCGGTTGGCCCATCCCAACATCCACCCCAACTATGATCTGCTGGAGCATGTGCAGGCCCGGTCCTGCAGATCTAAAGCTGCAGGATCTCCACGACACAGGACAACAAATATCCAAGAGGAGTCCCAGTGAGAGCCCAGCATCAATGGTGCAGCAGAAGCCAGAGGCCTCGAACCAGAGCAGTGACTCACTGCAACGAACACTTGCAAGGAAAGATGTATGTACTAAATAGCGTGCCGCGTGACTCACTGGGTCACACCACAACTGCCATAACGAGATTTTTCTTTTTCTCTTTTTTAAATTTTATTTTGCGGGGAGAGGTTGTAAGGGCAGATAGAAAGAGATGGGGAGATGAAGGAGATAGAGATGCGTGATGTGAAAGCCACAAAGAATAAATAAAAAGTTAAAAAAAATCACAAGGACCTAAATGAAAATCCCCAAAGCCCACATACAAGTCTGGCATGCTTGAGTGCAGGTCTGTTACCCCAGCACGATTGGGGACAGAGACAGGAGGATTGCTGGGGCTCACTAGCTGTCAGTCTAGACCCGAGATCAGTGAGAGATGCTGTCTCCAGGGGAGTAAGATGGAAAATGATGGAGAACAACTGACGTCCTTCTCGGATGCTGCATACACGCGCGCACACACATACACACCTCTCACACACTGCACACACATACTGCATCCACAGAAACACATGCACACACACACCTCACACAATACACTCACATACCATGCACTCACCACACACACATGCACACACACACACCACACACATGCACACATACACACACCCCCCACACTGTGCCCTCACCACACACACGCACACCATAAGCACCTCAAACACACACCACACACACCTCACACACACACACACACCATACACACATCACACACACTTCACACAAATGCACATATACACACTACACACACATACACCATACACATGCACACAGACAAACATGCACAGGAAGCAGAGGCCTGAGTGTGAAGACCCGACATGCCAGCAGCTTCTTCCAGCAGAGTTACTACTGTGTTTTAGGACCTTACACTCCTCTCCTGATGCTGCTTTGGAGGACGAAATCAAGATCTGATGCCCAAATTGGTTCTGGGAGCATCTGGCCCAACCCTTCATTTTGCTGAAGCCACAAATGTTAATGGACACAAGGAGCCCAAAGGCACTCAGGACTGGACCCCATTCTTACTTTCCAAGAGCAGGTGCCCTGGCCCTGTCTCAGGCTTTTTCTGCCACACCACACACAGGGTGCCCCAAAATGCCCTGAGAACAAACAAACGGTAGGGAAAGGTGGGACTGATTTCATTCCTTTTCCTTTTCCTTTTTTTTCTTTTTGGTCTATTTTCAGAACTAGATCATGACCACCCTAGACCCTTGGCTGGAGTCTTTCCCTTTTGTCTGGGCCTCCGAGTCTAAGAAACTGCTGCAGAGGCCTGCTGGTTCTTCTAGACCACCCTGTGGTTTGTTGGAGGTTTGCGTGGTGGGTGTGCGCCCTCTAGTGTCACAAGTGAGAATGACATGCAGCAAGGAAGCGGTTTCTTCTTGTTATGGTGGGGGTGGGGGTGGGGGTGGGGGTGGTGGGTGGAATGGGAGGGGGTGATAGGTGGGGTGGGGTGAGGTGGGGATGGGATGGGTCAAAACTCCAATGCAGCTTTGATGCAGTCTGTACTTGTAGAATTCTCTCCCTGCCTCCGTCCTTCCCTCCTTTACCTCATCGGAATCCCAGTTCTGTCAGATCCCATCTTTACCCAAATTTTAAATTTTGCTCGTTGTTTTTGCATTATTTTTGATTTATTACCATTCTGTATTAAATATTACTGCTATTAAGTATTGAGGGTTTTTTGATATTTAAATTTTGTTTGTGAGATGAATGTTCATTCTCTTCTGTCTAATCTCGATCCTAAACCTGCCTGGGAAGATCCCTAGTACATGAAGAACAGCGTGCATTCATCGGGACAAACTTAATGTCTATCTTTCCGTCTGGACTGGATGTTCCCTGCAACGTCGTGATCAAAGTTGGGGGTCTCTGAGCTTCTCCAGAAGGGGCCTTTCAAAGAGTGTATTAATGAGAGAAAGTCTTTGGATCAAAGACCTTCTTACGGCATAAAGATGTGTAGTTCTGCTTCTTCTTCAGTGTCTACAAAATGGCAAGACCCAAAGACAGTCCCAGGTCCCAAGACCCTTAAGAAGAAACCCGGGATAGGATGAAAGATTACGGTCTCACTGTGTAGCCCTAGCTGGCTTGAAATTATAACAAATCAGATCAGGCTGTCCTTAAACTCATGGCGATCCACCTGCCTCTGCCTCCTGAGTTCTGGTATTAAAGGCACACACATTATGCCAGATAAAACAATTTTGTAAAGAAAGGAAAGGAAGAAAAAACTGTTTTCGAATAAATGGAGGTGCCATTCCATCTCAGAGGCTGACCCATCTATGGGAGCCCTGGACAGGATCCTTGACCACATGTTGATATGTCTGGGCCCCAGAGTCCTGCCAGGTTTCTAGGTCTTTCCCATCCCCATATTGTTTGTGACTCAGTGAGGACGATTAAGGAAACCCTGTTTTATTAACAGTGGGACCACTCCCAAGGACCAGTCCAGGCATTACTTGCTATTCTATGAGTATCCACCAGGGGGCAGTGAGAGCCAACTGCTTGAGAGTTATGGCTCTATCAGGAAATGCTCTAGCAATTTGATCTTGAGCTCACACCAGCCTCTTGCATGGAGGTTTCTTAAGCCCTGCACACTGAGCATTGGGACAAAAAAACAAAACAAAACAAAAACCCCGCCCAGGTTCTTGAAGGACTGTACTCTTGCTCTGAGAAGTTCAAGGTTATCCCCATTGGGTGTTGGTGGTGCAGGTCTTTAATCCCAGCACTCAGAAGGCCAAGGCAGGCAGATCTCTGAGTTTTGAGGCAAGCCTGGTCTGTGGAGTGAGTTGCAGGACAGCCAGGATACAGAGACACCCTGTTTGATGGGGGGAATTATTCACACTCCCTCTGAATTCTGGTAATATTTTTTTTGAGATAGTCTCACCCTTAGCCTAAACTGGCTTTGACCTCCATGCAATCCTCCTGCCTCAGCTGGTGGAATGATGGAATTATGGCACAAGCTACCATACTCTGGGTAAATCCGTTTTCTTAAGTGGAAGGAACTTGGGCTATACCCATGTGGGTCTGTGTGATCTCTCCCTCCAAGCATTCCAATTCTTCTGACCTCAGTCAATCCCTCAAGCGTGCCTACTCTTCCCTGGGAGGCGAAGGCATCTGTACCTGGTCATTTTGCTTGGGGGAACAGTCCCTTCACGTTCTCCCATTGCCCTGGGCCCTGCTTTGGTGCTCAGCTTTTCCGTGCACGTATGATTTCTGATTTATCATGATTATAGTTTGACCTATGGATTTTTGACTTTATGATGCTGCAAAAATAACACACATTTAGTAGAAACCACCTGAAATTTTGATCTTTCCCTTCGATGAGTATATGCAGGAGAGAGCAACCTTAGCAATGCAGGGCATTGGCAGTGGGCGACCCATGAGGGTGAGCAACTGCTCTGCCATGTCCTGTGTGGCCAGACCCTGATGTGCCCTGCTGAATGTATCTTAGACTGAACAATATTTTAAATGTACTGTGCTTCAGACATAATTCTACTGTAAGCAGAGGAGCATCTGCTCTGGCTTGAACACTCCCAGGAGCTGTGGGAGACAGGGGTGGGCGTGAGAGTGTTTTGTTCCTGGGCTATGCGACGGTACAGGGCACGCACGTCAGTAAAAATCCCTGAGTTTTCTGCTGAAAATCTATGCCTCTTTACAAGTATACCTCAGAGATGAACTCTAAATAAAAACAAGTATTTCAGCCACTCCCTATGCCTTACATATTTTCTGTTTGTGAATTGTATTTCCCATGAGGATAGGAACTGTCTTATCAGTGTTGTATGTACCCAACATGGTTTAGTCCAGAGCCTGTACCCTAAGATAATTAGTGAGCAAACAGAAAAATAATAAAGCAAAAGATTGGATTTAATGATTTTTTTTTTAAGCAGCAACAGAGGAGGCCAGCCAGGGAATAGAAGCTCCCAAGACTGACAGACCCCAGTCCCAGTCCAGAGGTCTTCCTTCCTCCATCAGCACCCATCCCCAGAAACTGGGTCCCTGCCTGGAGGCTCAGCTCTCAGCTTTTCTACACCTCATTGGGGTCTCCCTGGTCAGCATAGATGAGGAAGCCCGTGAAGAGGCTGTCGGTCCAATAGGGGTCGTAAAAGAGTCCATTCTGCTCCGAGTAGAAGATCTGCAGCCAGACTTCGTCCCCCTCCTTGAGAGCCAGGATGGTAGAGCCCGAGGCCACGTCGTGGTTGCCTGTGTTGGCATCAAAAGTCCGAATGCGGTACTGGCCGTTGTGCACCAGGCCGATGGCGAGGTGCTTGTTGGCCAGGGTTATGTCATAGGTGAAGTAGTAGATCCCTGGCACGCCGCAGACGAACTTGCCGCTGGACGCATTGTAGTGGCCACCCTCATTCATCAGAATCTTGTCAAACTTGATGGGCAGCCGCTCGCGTGGATAGCTCTTGGTCACCGCCACCGAAAAGGCCGACTTGGCTCGGCTGCTGCCGCAGCTGCAGGGGCCTGGGAGACCGGGCTCTCCTTTCTTGCCTTTAGGTCCCTTCTTGCCTGGTGTGCCATGCTTCCCTGGGGTACCGCTGACCCCCTTGGGTCCTCGAGGGCCAGCCCGCCCAATGGCCCCAGCTTTGCCCTTTGGTCCTTGTTTTCCACGGTTGCCTGTCCGGCCAGGTGGACCTGGAAAACAGAACAGTTGGTTTTATAAGGGACCTGTAAAACCGAGGCAGAGCATGACGGAGGGGAATGAGAAGGCTTTGGGACACAGGCGAGGACAAATGCTGAAGGCATGACCAAAGGTGCTTCTTCTTGGTCTTTTCAGGGAAACCAGGATTGCTACGCCTGTTGGAAGCCCTAGGAATCAAGGCAGCAGAATAATTCACTGTGCTGGGAATGTAGCTCAGCTGATAGAGTGCTTGCTTAGCAAGTGTGAAGTCCTGGGTTCATTCCCCAACACTGCATAAAACTGCACACGGTGCACTCTTAGCACAGTGTGTGAGTGTATGTGGGGGGGATCAGGAGTTCAAGATCATCTTGGTTATAGAGTGAGTTTGGGGCCAGCATGGGCTACACCTGACTGACTCAGGAAAACAAAAAGGAGGGAGATTTTTTTTAAAAAAAAAAACCATTTATTTATTTATTTATTATGTATACAATATTCTGTCTGTGTGTATGTCTGCAGGCCAGAAGAGGGCACCAGACCTCATTACAGATGGTTGTGAGCCACCATGTGGTTGCCAGGAATTGAACTCAGGACCTTTGGAAGAGCAGACAATGCTCTTAATCACTGAGCCATCTCTCCAGCCCAAGGAGGGAGATTTACATGCTATATAAAAACCACTGTGGAGTCCACTTAGCCAAAACAGCAAAGGGTGCCAGAAACTCCCAGGCTCCAGGGAAACGGCAATATCTCCCATCCCTGTGTTCTCTCAGTGCACTGGACAGTGCCTGACAAACACTGTCTAAATGTTAAATATCAGTTGGTAAACCCTGCAGAATATTCCCGAATGTTTACTCAGAGAACACTTCTTGGTTTTTAATTAGAATATTTCATAAAATATACATTTTCTACAACCAACATTTTTGGGCCAGTGATTCCATAGGAAGCATTTGTCCTTATGACTATTTAGCACAAAACTGTATTTATTTTTTAGGCAGTCTCACGTGGCCTAGGGCTGGCGTGACCATGCTGCCAAGCTAAGGCTAGTTTTAGAGTGTTGACTCTTCTCCTACCTCCCAAATTCTGGGATTCCAGAATGAGCCACCAGGCCCGGCTCTTCAACACCTTTTAAGGAAAGCATATATGGGAGGGGGCTTGGCTTCCATTTTAACGCAGCTGTGCATTGGTAGAATGGCAGGGCTGTGAGAAGCATGTCAAATGCCCATCAAGGTCTCGTTCCAGAGAGGTGTTGGTGCTAATGAACATCTGAGCATGGCCAGACACAGGGCAACCATGGTTAAACACACTGAAGTGGAGGATGGGGGAAACTTTTTAGCAATTTTTTTTTTTTTTTGCCCCAACAAGGTACTTTGTTTCCTCTAAGTAGCATATAGGTATATCTCTGGGTGATGGTTAATTTTGGTTGTCAACTCGATTGGATCTGAATCAGCCAGGAGACATGCCTCTTGGTAGGTCTGTGAGGGAAGGATTAAAGTGGATGAGGAAGATGTTGTCCCAGAGTGGACAGCACCTCTGGCTGCGTCCCAGATATAAAGAGATCTGAGGGAGAGGGTGCTGCTTCTGCCTGCCTTCCTTCACTCTCAGCTGTCTTCACTCTCATGCTCTATTGACTGAGCATGAGTATTAATAATGTTTAAGTTTTCCTCAGAGCAATACATTTTCCTAATAGCAATCTCTGCAGTCTCCAGTAAGAAGATGGGGCCCTACAGCAATGATTCTACCTTGTTCATAAATGATGCCTTTGAGCCAAGAAACATCACTCTAAGATGGCTTTGGATGAGAACCGTGCGAGGTAATTCCAAATCGGCTAGCTGAAATGGTCCACCTTCTTACAATACTCTAGCCAGAACTTCAGGTAAGAACTTCAGATAGGCTTTACCTACTTTAGCTACTCAGAGACTGGCTACAAATGTTATAGTTAGTCCTCTTGAGACTTAACCATTGCTTTAGTTTTTTTTTTTTTTTTTTTTTTTTTACAGAATCCCATAGAGAGATTGTTACCCCAAGACAGTTGGAAGTAATTCTAAGAAAACAATGCCTCCGCTCCCAATAGTTGAGATGTATGGTTTGGCTTTTCTCAGGGTTGGTTATAAGTTATTATAGGGTTGGAGGCATAATAATAATAGTTAGGCTCAGGAATCTAATTTGGTGTAGAAAAAGGGGGATAGGATAGGATAACAAGGGTTAGCTTAGTATACCTGCCTGCAAACTATTTTAGCAACTACTAATTGTAGACAATTTACATTGACATACATTCTTATATTTTGATACATATGCAAAGTTGCTTTTGTATTCCTGTCTAAATAATTTGTATGTTGATACTAATTCAAAATTATATTTGTCATATTGTATACGTTCCTATTTGTTTACAATGTTTTTGCAAACAAATGTAAAATTATTTTTGTCATACTGTATGTATGCATGTTTCCATATCTGCTTGAGATTTTTGTATATTGATACAATTTAAGGATATTTTTATCATATTGCACTATACATTTCTACCTCTGGTCAAGATATTTTTACATATCTGTTACAATTTTTTAGGTCGGATCGGATAACTGCTTCCCTTTACCCCAGGGCAGAATGGAAGCCTGCAGCAATTCTATACCTTGCTGTTATTTATGAGTGTTTTCTAACAATCTTTGTTATCCTTTTATCTGGGCTCCTGTGGATTCGCAAACATTCGCCTACAGACCTCCTTGGGTCCAAGCATTTCCGTTATTGTCAGAAGTCTTCCCCTTAGGAAGAGGTACATTTGGACGAGTTGGTTTCATGTGATAGGAAACATCCTGGGTTTGGAATCTAAGTTCAGGAAATCAGGTGAGGGGCAAGTAACACTGGGACATTGATTGTCTTCAAGACTAGCGCTTCCCACAGTTCTCGCCACCCTCTCTGGTGAGGTAGGCGCTGTTGATATTGCTGTTGTAGATAAGGGGACACTGAGGTTAGGGGAGGTTAAGACACTATTCAAGGTTGTCCTCAGAGTTAAAGTGCTTGAAGCAAAGACATGCTCATCCTCATCTTGCTACCCGACTCTTAGTTTCCTCATTTGAAACTTGGAATAATAAGGGCATTTGCTTTACAGGACGATCTGATGAGTGACTTACTCAAAATGCCTTCTCAGTGTTAAAACACCATGTAAGTAAATGCTATCCTGGGGGCTGGCAGGGTGGAGCACGTACTTAACCCGCACAAGGTCAGGGTTGACTTCCTAGCATCAAGAGCAGAAAACCACTATAATCTCCCTGTGTTTCAGGTGTGCGTTTGAGGATGCTGATCAAGAGCAGGGCTGCAAGGTCAGAGCTAGAGGGAATGTCAAGGAGGAAGGAACCTAAAGGCAGTATCTGCTCTGGTCCCTGCCACCCCTTACTACCCCGTGGGTCCCCTTGGGGCTGTCAACTACAACGGAGTATCAAGTACTTCTGCTACCCACTCAAAAACATCTAGGGTGGCATCTGATCCAACCTTCCTTGGCAAATGGTGGCACTGCATCTCCGTTTGAAAAGGTGAAAAAGGGGTATGGATGAAGCTGTTGGAATGGAGACCTGAATGCACCAGCTGCCATTTCAGAGCATCCGGCTTTAAGGGGGATGAAGCTGACATACAGGGAGAAGCAGAGCCCAGACAACAAGAGTTAAAAATCCGGGCCAAGCCATTCCTGAAGCTCATCTCGTGGTCTTCGCAGTTTCGTGAGTCAAGTAATCTCATTCGGGCCCATTAACTGGGCTGCTATCACCTACAAACCAAGCCCTTTGAATAACAGCTCACAGGCTTGCCCACCCTCCCCTCCCCCAGCAATTTCAAAGCTCTACAGAGGCAGGAACACAGAAATGAGTCTCCATTGTTTTCTTCCATTTGGTTATAAAGAGGTATCAATGCATGCTAGTTTCAGGAACTCTGAATCATCCCCCTGCTCCATGACAGATGCTGTCAACTCTGGTTGGACAAGTGGGCAGGTAGATACAGGTCTCTTACCTTCTTCTCCAGTGTCCCCCCGGTCTCCATCCTGGCCGTCTTGGCCATCTTTACCAGGAAAACCCATTCTTCCCACCATTCCTGAGGATCCTGGTGCTCCTGGAGGGCCAGGGGGGCCTTGAGGACCAGGCAGACTGCAGACGAGTTGAGGGCCACCTTTCTGGAAGTCCCTTCGAGCAAAAGCACCGATCAGCGGGTCAGCAGCACACGGAAGGACACAGGCCAGGAGCACCCAGGAGATCATGGTGTACACCTGCGGGTGACAAGGGAGCTGTGGCGGGTGAGAGTGGACATGGTCAGTCCGAAGACATCAGGAAGAGGAGGCATAGATGCAATTGCATTTCTGCCTGTCTCTCTTTCCTGCATCATAGACAGCCATCTGGACAAGCCTGTGGGTTGTGACCCCTTTGAGGATGGGATGACCCTTTCACGGGGGTCACCTAGGATCATGAAGAAAACATAGATATTTACATTATAATTCATAACAGTAGCAAAATTACAGTTATGAAGGAGCAATGGAAATAATTTTATGCCTGGCAGTCACCACAGCATGAAGAACTGTATTAAAGGATTGCAGCACTGGGAAGGTCGAGAATTACTAATCTAGACAGTGTCATCATTTTTTTTTGTTGTGTTTTGTGTCCTGAGAGAGAATTTCCCTGTGTAGCCCTAGAGATCCGCCAGCCTCTGCCTCCCGAGTGCTGGGATTAAAGGCGCGCACCACCACCACCTGGCAGGGCCAGCATATTTTAAGGGCACATTTAGGTAGCTGAAACCTGTGCTCAGATACACTTTGCAGGGGTCTTGAGAACGAGCCATTCACCATTAGGCTGTCATTCATCCACGTCGCTGAAATGCAGAAAGAACCTACCTACCCCGCCACCCAACAGCCCCAGTGACTGAGGACCACGGCTTTGGTCAAACATGCAAATAGAGTTAGAAGAGCGGGCACACTTTGATTGTTGCTGGTGATTTAGGCTGTTTCCGACAGGGACTTAGGGTTGCAAATGAGAGGAGATGCGGGTTCAGCGACTGAGGGATGGTGATTTCACATGAACTTGGCACCCTCGGTGCTGGAAGGCCAGGTAACAACTCTTCTCTGGGTGCTTCTGGTGCCCAGGTCCACACTCAAGGCTCAGAGCTGTCGATCATCTCACAGTGCAACAGCCTTATGGAAAAGAGGTTCAGAAAAGCTGGGTGATGGGACGAGCAGGTGGTACACGGGTTACACAGCTCCAAAGATTGCCCCCTCCTACTCCAGGCTGGGCCATCCTTAATGTTTGTGGCAATAGCATAAGCCCACTAAGTATCAGTGTGGGGCATCCTGGGAGCTCCTCTTCTGCCCACGTACACACACTGTAGTAGAAATCAGTGCTTTGCTTCAAGCCTATCAACAAGCTAGATCTGATGCATTATCACCAATGGCCTCTTTGAGGTAGCTAGGACAGAGAACAAACATGCTGGGCATGACTTCCTGTTACAGGGATGGCTCTCAGTGGTAACTTGCTTTGTGACCTCAGGCTAGCCCCTTTCCCTCTCTGACTCCTAGCTTCCCTACCTGAGCAGCAAAGGGCTAGAAGAAGTCAATGGTCTTCAATCTGAAAGTCTAACAATCAGGTTGTGGAGGAGGGGCTCGTTAAAATACAGATGGTTGAGTCCCACCCTCTAATTTTAGGTACCGCCAGGGAGTAGCTCAGGGGCAGGGCTGCACAATTTGCTTTAGTAGTAAGTCTCTAAGGATGGCTGGGGCTGAAGGTCATCCGAATCCTTGTTTGAGACCCATCAGCTCTGGTGTTGAGCCTTTCCATCTCCAGCCTTCCTTCTCGTTGTGGAGATGAAGGCTAGCTGGCTCCATGGCTCCCACACAGCCTTTGACTATTCTAACAGAGCTCATTCAGGGTTCATGAGTGGCGGGGATGCTGGAGGCAGTGGGGACTTCGCTCAAGCTTTGTAGCTCAAGGCTCTTCCTGGGTCCTTTACCCGTCTCCCTCCACCCTCTTCCTTCCCACCCTGCTTTGGTCTTGATGCTGACAGCTACCCAGGCTTTGGGGCTGTCTTTGACTGTTCCCCTTGGAAGGATCTGACCCCTTCTCAGCTCCTGGTCTACTCCAGGTCAGGACATTTTTTTTCCAGTACTTGAGAGTGAACCCAGGGCTTCACCCATCCCCGGGAAGCTCTACACCTCGGCTGCACAGCCAGCTCCCTTCTTTTTCCTTCTGAAACAAGGTCTCTCGAAGTCTCTCAGGCTAGCTTGAGCTCCCCTCGCTGATGCTAGTTTATAAAGGGACGGAGGGACTCAAGCATAGGTGACCATACTTGGTTGTATTCCATGTGTGAGGCTTGCTCAGCACAATAAATCACGTGTGTTAATATGACACCAACAACAGGTGCTTCTGGAAAACTGGCCCAGACACTCCTCAGACCCCTTTCTCTCTTTCCTCTTCCTGCTAAATGAGATGAGAGTTGTGGGGAACCGGCTGGTGTAATTCGGACTCCCCTCCCACACAGTTGGGGCTTGAACCCTGGGCCTCGTGTGTGCTGGACAAGTGCTCGGCCATTGAGCTACGTTCCACAGCCCTGTTATTTAGGAGCGAGTGCACACCCAGAGTCTTGCAGAATGGAAATGAATTTTCCGAGCAGTTTTAAACTGATCTGGAAATTCGTGACCTATAAACATTTCAGATTAGCAAGAGAGGGAGGGAGGGCGGAGGGAGAGGGGGAGAAGGGAGGGAGGCAAAGTGACTTTTACAAGAATACGCGAACTCCCAGAACAACTGAAGTCGTGGCAAAGAGACAGCTAGACCGGAATGGGCACAGGGGTATATCTACCACAGTGTTCTCTATTCTGCCCCGAAGCACAGCTACAAGGACCCTGAGAGGAAGAAACTTGCTCTCGCCAGTCTAATCTTCTCTGACAGAGAAGGGTCAATGGCCTCTCCGTGACAGCTGGCTGGAGTGGGCCCCAGAGCCCATGGGGCGGGCTGCTCTGGGACACACAGGGAGATTTTTTTTTTCTGGAGCTGGAGCCTGAAGGTTCCTGCAGCCCCACAGGCTTTCCCGCAGCTGCAGCCAGGAATAGCTTTGGAAAGAAAGGCGGGACGAGCTCTGCTTCCAGGGCAGAAGGGAGAGACGAGTTTCCTTGCTTCCCAGGCACCTCCGAGAAAAACAAGACTCCAAATAGCTCTGCTCCCCACTGAGCCCCATGCTCACACCACCATCCACACGATGGCCCTGCGGAGACTGGGGAGAAAACCGGGGACTGGGATAGCATGCTTAGAAGGCGGCAAGCCCCCAAGCCATCTAGATGGAGCAACTGTCCCACAACCTTTTACATAAACATAGAGCCAACTTGGGGAGGGTGTCAAATCCTACTCCTTCAGTTAGAGATGACACCGGAGCAGAGATAAACTGATATTATTAAGCATCCCCAAGGTTCCAGGGTCTGCACGAAGCTCTTTACATGCATTGTATTATTGGAAAGGCACATTAAGCCCTACGAAGGCAAAAATCACCCTCGTTATCAAAGGAAGAAAGCAAAGCTCTAAGAGGTGAAGTGGTTTACCCATTGCCACGCCATCAGGGAGTAGGCTCTACCCATGGTCAGCTATCTCTAGTGACCATGCTCACCCCATATTGCCTTTCTCCGTTCTGTAACTTTCTCCAGCACCCAGAGAGGCAAGTACTTAGTGGCAGAAGTTATATTTGAACTTGGCATCGGCTACCCCGGATATATAAATGCTTTTCATGTTGCCAGCATTGCTTAGATGTTTTTCCTTCCAAGCATCCCAAATTATAGACGGGACCTTGAAGCACATGCCGAAGCCACACGTGTGATATGTTGTATTCTGTTTTACAGCTTTATATACACGCACACCACATGACTTTGAAAACGTCCAAGTGATATTTCTGTTTTCTCAGGACACTCGGGTAATCAGATACTCGAGGACAACCTCTCGTCCTCTGGGGTGTGGTGGTGCACACCTGTGATACCAGCACTTAGGTGGAAGCCGATGGATCAGGAGTTCAAAGACATCCTCAGATATAGAGCAAGCTCAAGGCCAGCCTTGGCTACAGGGCACCCTGTCTCAAAAACACACAGAAAAGGAGGCCGGAGAGATACTCACCAGCAAAGAGCACTGGCTGCTCTTCCAAAGGACCTGGGTTCAATTCCTACCCCCCCCCCCAAAGTGGCAGTTTACAACTGTCTGCACAGTTAGTTCCAGGAGATCCTACACTCTCACACAGACTTATCATGCAGGCACAATACCAATGCACATAAAATAAAATTAAGCACACACACACATACACGGGGGGGGGGGTTGGGGAAGAGAGACAGACAGACAGACAGACAAACAGACAGCGAGAACTAAACAATGAAATAGTTCCTGTGTTTTGAAAACTCTCTGCTTTAAAGGACAGGATCATCCAGAGCCCTGACTCCACCATAACCCCCTCTGGAGTGTTCATGATGTGGGGTCCAGCTAGGGTCCCCGCCAAGAGGTCAGGGTTGGGATTTGCAAAGCCCACCCCATCCCATTATTCATTCCTCATTTGGACTCTCAACATCCTCCCTTCCTGTGCACACTCCACAACTCCCGGCCTCTTCCACGTGCCCCAGCCAGAGTTGAAAACCGTCCCTCAGGCGCCTCATTCTTCAAGCTGGTCCAGCAGCTTCTGGTTGTAGGTCACAAACACAGGAATACCTAACAGACCCCACAAGGCCCTAAATGACCTGGCCTCAGCCTCAACCCAGCCTCTGCTCCTCCCTTCCTTACTTGTTGGCCAGCTACAGGGCTTCTAGCGGGCCAAGGCCCAGCATCTCTGCTCTTGAGGTAGCTAGCACCTTGCCTTCAGGCTCATGAGCCTTTCTTCCAGGTATCCCCTGACCTCCTCTCCGAGGCTGCTCTCTTTTCGGTCCTAACTCTTTGTTTCTTCCCCTCGCTCCTGCAGGGGTTTGTGGTATCATCCCTTTCATACTTGAATCCTGTGGAGCATGGGACTGCAGCGGGTCACCTGTTTATAAACTTCCAAGCATATACAGATATTTAAGAACTATCTGCCTGGGGGCTGGAGAAATGGCTCAGTGGCTGAGTGCCTTCTGCTTTTCCGAAGGATCTGGGTTCGATTCCCAGCATCTATATGGGGCAGCTCACAACCATCTATAACTGCAGAGCATCCAATGTCCTCATCTGGCATCCGAGGGTTTCCCCATATATGAGGTGTACACACACACACACACACACACACACACACACACACACAGAGAGAGAGAGAGAGAGAGAGAGAGAGAGAGAGAGAGAGAGAGAGCTCTTAAAAAAGAAAACTAGCTGATTAATACCTGTTTGAGACTCAGAGAGTCTGCTGAAAGAAAAAAGGAGTCTAAACACCAGAGGGCATGGAAATCACTCATTCAAGCAACTTTTCTTTTCCATTTTTTTCTTACCTGACCCAGCCAGAAATTCTCCCTGGGATTGCTCAGACAGACGTCTGCCTTTTTGTCCCTGTCTCTGGGGCTGTGCTTGCAGAATGCCACACATACAGCAAACGTTCCCCAAAGAGGGGTTCAATTGGTTAGAAAAAGAAATGAACCGTCACCGCCCCCTTACCTTAAACAGTGTCATCTGAATTGTTCTTTCTGGCTATGGGTTGGGAAGGAGGCCTTCATCAAGTCTTCTTGCTAAAGTGGAAAGTAACGAGAGTTAAATCCCAGAAATGGAATTATGAGGTGTGAAACTTGGATGTGTTTTGAAGTCTGGTTTTAATCTGTCCCATCCTGAGCTTCAAGCCGCTCAGGAAAGTAGCTAGTGATTCATGAGTATGCATGTTCCAGGAAAGCCCTGGGAGCCCATGGCTCCAGCCTGGGGCCCACTGTAGGGCAAGAGCCGTCTCCCTCCACACTTCCCAGGACATAGCGTCTGGCTCATTCTTGAGGGCCTTCTGTCGATGTTGTGACTTGAGAAGGGGCAGAGCTGGGGATACTGGCCTTCTGTGTATTTTTCTGGAATGTGGTTGCAAGCGCAAATGCCAGGAATGCTTTTCTGGGCCTTGAGTGAGGTCGTGAGACCCAGGTGTTGACCATGCTTTGCGCGAAGGTCTGAAGATCTCAAATGAAAAATTCTTTTCTCAGTGGTAAAGAGCCCCGGAAAAAGCAGGCACTTGTTTACTTAACCATTTTTAATCCATAGAGTCTGTGTCAAGAATGAGATTACATCACTAAACATTCAACCCAGGGATAGATACACTCAACACTGCAGGTGATTACCTGTTCCCCCTCCTACCCTGCTCCCCAGAAGTTCTCTCGGTTGCCTACCTTACCCTTGAAGCCTTAGGTCTAGTCTCATCTCCTTGAGAACACTGCCTACAGTCTAAGGTATCTGACCCACAATGCACTTGGGCTGCCCTGTCCTGCCTTTCAAGGCACAGGACCCAGTTGTGGTGATGATTCGCTTCTGTCTCCTCCTACTGGGAGATCTGGGGAAGTGGGGGCCTTGCCTGTCTCTGTCTTTAACACTGGAGCCTAGTACAACATCACATATAGTGTATGTTCAATACAAGTTAAGAGACCGTGGATGCAATGGTCACTCAGAATCCCTGAAATACCAACAGGATTTTGATACATTTGTGGTTGACAAAGCCACACTTAACTACTACTAAGAATGTAGAGACCCAAGTGCTAAAACTGCAGTTCAGTTGAGGCTCACAGTCCCCACCTCCACCAGGAGACCCTGGAATGCTGCCCTGCCTTGCCTCATCCTCAGTGGAAGAGGACCTCCAGATCAGATCCAACAGGGCGATTCTCCCTATGTACAGCTGTAGAAGGCACAGGCTGGTGGCTGGGGTTGCAGAGAGCTTGCTTGCAGATGGATGAAGACCGTTGAAAAATTTGCTTTGATGGCAGTGAGAATTCTCTAATGGAAAACACCCTGCCTTCCCTAATTCCAGGAAGCAAATTGGAAGCAGTCCTCTCCCAGTTTCTCCAAATGCTGAGGTGGCCTGGAAGAGAGGGGCTGGCTGCAGCTCTTACAGAGCTCTCATGACACCCCCTTTTCTGGGACCTCAAGTTTGGGGCCCACTTGGAAACGGCACTGCCCAGAAGAAAGAGAAACAGAGGATTTCAAAGTGAATACAGAGAGTCGAAAAGCAGGGGGGTCTTCTTGCTGAGAAATGTTTTAATTCCTTCCATTTTTCTCCCTCCCTACTCTTGGCTCTGCCTAGGAACAGAGGTCTAAAGATAAATTATGACCTAATGAGAGGACTCAGGAGCTGGGATCTGGCTGTGCTTGTCTCAGCAAGCATTTCTGAAGGCACACAGGAAGTCAGTCTTGGAAATAATATCGAAGGATCCTATTTTCATCTATATATACTGCGGGACCTTCAAAATCAACAACTATAACATTCACCATGGTAGGCAGCGCAGATCAGCCCTCTGGCCCAGGCTGCTTCAGGTATAAACCTCCACTGAAGACCCTGCTACAAGAGTCAAGGGGTGGAGCCAGGCTCCTAGTCATTGAAATGGAGACCAGCAAGCTCCACCCTGCCTGTGGCTATTGTGCCAAGTGGAGGACCAAGGAGGACAACAAAGGAGAAGGACTCAGTTGCTGGGTGGGATGTGAAGGGTGTTTGTAATTCTGTCTTCATGTTGCCAGAGGGTCGGCCTTGGGCATGGCAAACCTGTATGGTGGGAAGAATAATTGGATGGGCATTGTCCAATAGGGAAAGGACACAAGCCATAAACGTCATTTAAAATTATCTCATGGTCACATTAAAAAGGCAAAAGGAAGCAGGTGAAATTAGCTTCAGTGTTGTTTAGGTCAATGTGCCATGTCATTTGAACATATAAGCTTCAAAAAATCATTAGTGAGACATTTTATAACCTAAAATTTTTTAAAATGTATTTTATTTTTATTTTATGTGTATGGGTGTTTTACTTGCATGTATGTATTTGCAACACATGTGTGTCTGGTGCCCATGGAGGCCAGAATAGGGATATGGAAACATCAGAACTGGCATACAGACTGGAATATAGACATTCACTGTGGGAGTGCTAGGAATTGAACCCGAAGCCTTTGGAAGAGCAGTCAGTGCTCTTAACTGCTGAGCCGTTTCTCCAGTTCCATAGTTTGCAATATTTAATTAACACTAACTTTTGAAATCCTGTGAGGTTTTTCACACTCATGACTCAATTTTTAATGTTATTTATTAATGTCCATTGATTGTGTCTATATTTGTGTATCTGTGTGTGTTTCCGCATTCCACAGTGCATCCCAGTGTGCATGTGGAGATTAGTGGTGTGTTCTTTCCTTCTACCATGAGGGTTTTTGTTGAACTCAGGTTGGCAACACCCAATGGCAGCCCTCTGTAGCTGGCATTTCAAGGGCTCCAACTCCCTCTTCTGGCTTCCACTGGCACAGCACGCAAATGGTGCACATACCTACATTTGTGCAAAATACACAAGACAGTTCCTTTCCAGACATGCCGTACTCTAAAGAAGGTTGTAAGCCGCAAACTTACATATCAATTTCTTTAAGATTACAACATGGAAGAACAGGTTGATAGAGGCTGCAAACAGCCTTGTCACTGAGAAAATTCTATCTCAGTGAGAGTCATCAGCTGGAGGCTGGGGAGATGGTTCAGTGGGTAAAGCATTTTCTATGCTTGTCTGAAGAAGGCCTAAGTTCAAATCCCTAAAACTCAGGTAAAGCTGGAGACAGTAGTGTGAGTCTGTAATGCCAGCGCTTTTATAGTAAGATGGGAGGTGGAGATCTAGGACACCTGGGAAATTCACAGGACAGCTAGAAGCAAGCATGAGACTGAGCACCAAACAAGGTGGGAGGCGAGGCTTGACACCTGAGGCTGTCCTGTGCCTTCTGCATGCACACTGTCACATGGGCATGTGTGCGAGACCAGCTTCCGTATCCACTGAGTTGCCCTCCTGGTACCATCCTATGCCCCTCTGTTTCTTACACATCTCTGTTCCTCCTACCTAACATTTCTGATCCTCACCCCCCTACTCTGGAAGGAATGAACCCATTGTGGCTGCACTGTGGCAGAAGTCACCCCAAAAGGTGGCTTATGACAGATGACAGCCCAATGTGGCGCTTCTGACAGGTATGTCCACACTCAGGCACGTGAACATGCAGAGAGAGAGGAAGAGAGGGGGAAACCCCTTGAATTTCTGGGGGGCCTGGCATCCTGCTGGTCCTGCATTTCTTCTCATAGTCCTAAGAGTCCAATTTATTTTATTTTATTAAAAGAAAAGAAATTATCTTTTTTCATTTTACAATACTAATCCCAGTTCCCACTCCCTCCCCTCTTCCCATTCCTTCCATTTGCCCCGCCCCCATTCATTCCTCATTGCTTTGGGGAAGGTCCAAGGCTCTCCATAATATATGTAGGTATCCATCCAAAGAGAGTGTGTTCCCCAAAAGGCCAGTACAAGCAGTAGGGATGAATCCCAGTGCCACTGCCAGTGGCCCTGCAGTCTGCTCCAGCCATACAACTGTCACCCATATTCAGAGGGTCTAGTTTGGTCCTATGCTGGTTCTTTCCCTGTACGGCTGGAGTTGGTGAGCTCCCATTAGCTCAGGTAAGTTGTTTCAAGTGGGTGTCCCCATCATGGTCTTGACCTCTTTGCTCATATTCTCACTTGTCCCACTCTTCAATTGGACTTTGGGAGCTCAGCCCAGTGTTCCACTGAGGGTCTCTGCCTCTCAGAGCCTGATTTTGGCATCTCTGCTTTGCAGAAGACAAAACAGAGCCCAGAAAAATAGAAAACCATTTTCCCATGGCAAGCATATCTGAGGGAACCAGCCCTGCCAATGCCAGACCCAGAGGTCATGGTCCTTTATCTTAACCCCTTCACTAGCAAGAGGGCCCCTAAGAGGTTAGTGATGTCTGCATGGCCAGGGGCGTATGCAGAGAAATAGGCCAGTTACAGAAGAGGACACATCTGGGGGAGGACCATTGGCTTTAGAAAGGGCTTGGAACAGAATTGCTTTAAAAACTGGACTGACAATAGCCGGGGATTTTCTGAGCAAATTGATTTGTGCAGGGTTCCTCTCATGGAACTCAATGCAGTTTTCAGGGCTCTGACTGGCAGGAAAAGGTTGGGGAACTTTGAGCATCAGTCTGGTACCCCATAGGGAGCACTGGGGAGTAGGAAGCATCGGTACCAGAGTATAGAAAAGATGCCCAGTCAGCAGGGTCAGGATTAGACAGGGGAGGAGGTAGAGACAAAAAGCACTTTCTTGGGCTGGGGAACAATACTAGCACGAGGACCTGATTTTGATACCCAGAAGTAACATAAAAACAAAAGAAGACACAAAAAGTATCCAGTGGGGTGGAATGCACTTGTAATTTCATTCCTGGAGAAGTAGAGACAGGCCCATCTCTGGGACTGCCTGGCTAGCCAGCCTAGCCTACTTGGTGAATTCCAAGCAATCCACTCCTGACTGGGGTGGATGGGGTGGACAATGTCTAAGGAATGACAGATGAGATTGTCCTCTGACCTCTACGTTACTCAAATGCACATGTACTCACCAGCACACGCGCACACACACACACACACACACACACACACACGTGCGCGCACACACACACACACATTTTCTTGGGGGTAACATTCTTACTACTTCAAAGAGACAGAATAGCTTCAAAGATGACTTTGAGCTTGGGTAAAGAATTCCAATTCCCCCGTGCAATGGCACACTACCGAAACACGTCCGATGTCCCTGCTAGGACCCGAAAAGGCACTGCACATTTGAACGCGCTGCACTAGTTCAATTAGAAGGAAGGGCAGAGGTGATGTCTAGAGAGATGTGTAGAGGAGCGGAGTTCATTGGTGGTGGAAAGCTGAGTAACGCAAGCAGCAGTCAGACAACAAAAAAGTCCCATGCAGAAGGGAGAGCATAAATAAAGCCAAGAGAAGAGAGGTTTTTTTTAACAATGCTAAATGACATTGTCACCATTAGCGCTGCTGGTCTAGGGTGGACAGTCTCTGGCAGATGGTCACTTAAGGGAAGGACATTTGAAAGCTTGCAAACCAGGCCGTTCTGTGGTTGCAGAACAGAGAGGCACCACACGGAGAGGGATAAAGGCTTTCTTGTGTGATGGACAGGAGGGACTGGGGGCTGGGAGGCCACTCTGGCCACTGTCATAGCATGGTTGAGCGTGAAGGTCCTGGGGTGGGTCACAGAGACTCTAAACAATATATAGATATAAATGAGGTTTGGGTGCGGGGGCTGTGGCTCTGCAGGTAGAGTGCTTGCTTAGCATACACAAAACCCTGGGTTAGATCCCCAGCACTGCGCAAATCTGATGTGGTGTTGCACCCCTGCAGTCCCAGCACTCAGTAGGTAGAAGCAGGAGGATCAAGAGGAGTCAAAGGTCATCCTCAGCTACATAGTGAGGATAGTCATAGCGAGGCTAGACTGGGCTGCAGGAGGCCCCGACTCCAACAAAACAAAGACAAGGCTTAGAGACAAGCTGTTTGAGGAAAGAGGGACAAGGAGAGAACTGTGAGAAACTTGATTTAATTTTTGGACCATCATTTGCATTATTTTATCTGAGTTCGGTCTACCCCCTATTTTAATGTATTTAGAGAAATATCCAGAATAAATGAGATAATGTGCCCAATTAATGTTAACCCTGTGAATCCGGGTATTAGACTCAGACATAAAGGGTTAAGTATCTTTGCCATCTGTGCAACCCTAAGACTGTCCTTAAAGTAACTGAGTCAGAGAAAGAGAGAGAGAGAGAGAGAGAGAGAGAGAGAGAGAGAGAGAGAACTTGTTGTCATGGAAACGAAAGCGCACAAGTTCAAGGCCGAGGACTTGGCACCAAATAGATGCGCAGTAAACCACAGGCTCTTTTCCTTCTTAACCCGTGAGCCACCAGGCGGAGCCTGGCATGTGGCAGGCTCTTTAGAAAGGTTTGAATTCCTGCTGTAATGACCAAGTTAGAAGGGGTAGAGGCAGAAGCCGGGGCGAGTTCTCTGCTACCTCATCTCGCGCCTACAGCATCCAAGGTTCCTCCAGGTCCTCCCCACTCTCTGCCCTGCAGGGCACGACACTCACCCTCTCTACCCCGCGCCACGTACGTCCAGCTCTGGTGGTGCTCGGTCCTGCCTTCAGCGACGGCAGATGAGGGGCCGCAGGCATAGTTTTCCCATCCCGTCATGGGAGGGAGCGCCTTCCTTCCCGGTCACGTGCACTGGCCAGCAGCTGGCGCTCTTTATCCCTTCGGATTTGAGAAGGACTTCCAGCGGCAGGGACAACTTGGGTGTGCCGATGCAAGCATGAGTGTAGAAGTTGCCCGAGTATTTGAAGGTTTATAGTACTCGAGTCATGGTTACTGGTATGTTTGCCAGTATCTGCAGAACCATCTGTATGTACAAGCGGGCATCTATCTCTCGGTAGATCCGAGGCTGTCAGGAGAGAGCATTTCCAAGCATTTCGAGTATGCATGTACTTGAGAGTGATTACACGTTAGGCATACACGTCTAATTGTGTGTGTGTGTGTGTGTGTGTGTGTGTGTGTGACATAGGTCATGCACCCAAACATGCATCAGACCCCAAACATGCATCAGACCCTAGCATGCACATGTGCAGACACATGGTGAAGGCTGAACTTAATAGGTAACTGGAGCTTGTAGTATGTCCAGAGTGTGTCTTATACTGGCTAAGTATCAGTGTCGGGTGGCATTGCTGAGGATTTACACACACACACACACACACGTTTGTGTGGATTTTCTCTGGATATTAGTGTTAATGGGAACAGGCAACTGTGTCCTAGCCAACACAGGTAGAGAGATTCCATTTAGACAACAAGCAGATACCAGAAGAAGAGAACCCGGGAGCCTGTAATTAGCTTCTCTCCATTCCTTCTTCTGCTCCCTTCCTCTAGCTGCTAATATCCCACGGGGCAGTAGGAGCATCTGGCTAACAGCTGCCATAAGATGCAGTCAGAATTTTAATGTAGATATGCCATCCTAGACAAGCCAGTGAACTGCATCGACTGTATTTCTCTTTCTGAGAAGTGGGAAGAATAATAATGATCTCACCTGCACCGTCTTCCTTCCCATAGCCGTGACATTCACCCATTAGGCACTTAGGAAGCTATCAAGGTATGCAGAGACTCATTAGTAATATTACCTAAATTTATAATTTGTAATGATAATAAATGAAATACTAATAACATATCTTATATAAAGCATTATATGTTATATAATATAAAATAGGTAATGATATAAAGAGATGTGTTAATGAGTTCAATGTTTATTCAACAAATTTTAGAAATTAAATTACAATTATTTATTTATGGTATTTGCACGTGTGTGGAAGACAGTGGGTCTCAGACTGGACATGCCTAGATGGTAGGCATGAGACCGTGTGAGCCAGTTCTTCCTCCCGTGTGGTCTCCATGAAAGGGTACCAATTTCTTCTGAAGTATTAACTTCAGAGGCATAGTTTTAGTCTGTCTTGAGCCATAGCTTCTTGTCACTTGGAAAGAACCTGCTTGTGACAAGAGACAGTGACATTCCCACATAAGAAGAATTGGACGGTACAGAGAGCTGTAACTACTTTATGAAAGCCTTTGTTCTGATACTTGTAATAGTTGTGATAAAAGTCCCATTCTCTTATTCTCTATCTTTAAACTAGCTTCAATGAGATCCTGTCAGCTACCATAGAGGGAGACCCACCGCAGTATCCTCCCAAGCCTAGCTCAAGCCTTTGCGCTTGTAGAAAGTTCCTTTAACACAAGACTGTATGGACAAAAAGCTTTCTTCGAGTTATTCACTGATAAATTATTAACTGACGAGAGATTGGGTCCCCACAATCTCTCCGTGCTTCTCTTCCGATCTCTAATGATGCTGTGCTCATAGTCTGGCATGTTGTAGGGGGAGCAACACACCATAGACATCAGCCACAGTGTGAACCAGTCTCCAGCCTGCCCTCCCGAAACATCCCTGTCTAAAGCCCTTCTCAGTTGCCCCACCCATTGGCTAGAGCCATGTACTGATCTGTGTGCCTCTTGCTTACATTGGGTAGGTAGGTCTAGGCTGCACCTAAGTCTTTAGACTCACTAAGGAGGAAAGGCCCTGCGAAGGAATTTAGGCCAAAGCCCCCATTCCATGCACAGTGCCAGGAAGCATGGACTGTTGAGGCTTAGATAGCTGTGGAGCGGAAATGAGATCCAACATCTTTGGACTTACACCCATAGCTAAAACACGGACCACTCTCTTTGACCTTTCAACCCCTCTCTTTCTCCACTCTTGGCACGAGAGTGTCTACAAACCATCACTGAATCATTCCAAAAGTTAGCGGCCAAGAACCAAGGACTCAGATGTTTATTTTCAGTACAGGGCTTAGTGAAGTTCTCCAGAATGAGGTCATTCAAGATGGGGTGTCAATAATGAAGCAAGGTTGGGGAGACAGCTGTTGTGGACATGCTGCCGCTCTGTGGACTTCTGGGTTGGTGGGCCTGGGGACTTGTGCCCACGGTTGTGATGTCATTTGATGGAACAGATCAAGTTAAAAGACCATGAGGTTGAAGCAGGCACTAGCTACTTATGTTCCTTAGGATGAAACAAGACAGTCAGCCAGCCCCAAAGGAAGTGTGAAGATTTAAACTACATATAAATTTTGCTTTGGAGTTGTTATGAACATAGCAGTTCTGTTTCCAAGAAAATTTGTTCTGGAAGTATTCCATATGTGTTCGGACCTGTTTGAACTAATAAAGAACTTTCAACACTTAGGCAGCAAGTTCAATAAATCAGTACACACTTGTATACAAACAAAAGTTCACAAAAGCAAAACCCAGAAGGGAACACAAAAGATTCCATATGATTGTGTTGGAGCACACCTTTGCCTCAGCACTCAGGAAGTTGAAACAGGAGGACCGTGAGTTTGAGTACAGCCTGGGCTATCAAATGTTGTTTTTAAAAAAATTACTCGGGGGCTGGAGAGATGGCTCAGTGGTTAAGAGCATTGCCTGCTCTTCCAAAGGTCCTGAGTTCAATTCCCAGCAACCACATGGTGGCTCACAACCATCTGTAATAGGGTCTGGTGCCCTCTTCTGGCCTGCAGGCAGACACACAGACAGAATATTGTATACATAATAAATAAATAAATTAAAAAAAAATTACTCATGGCCGGGCGGTGGTGGCGCACATCTTTAATCCCAGCACTTGGAAGGCAGAGGCAGGCGGATCTCTGTGAGTTCGAGACCAGCCTGGTCTACAAGAGCTAGCTCCAGGACAGGCTCCAAAGCTACAGAGAAACCCTGTCTCCAGAAACAGAAAAAAAAAATTACTCATAAAGTGAACCTTATTCCCTAGGGAGAGGAACTGGAAAACTGGAGAGGGACACATTTATTTTCCACTGTGTGTCTTGGAACGATGTGCATTTGAAAGCCGTGGGAGTGTTTCACTAATTTAGCACCGCGCTTTCTGATAAAGTAGAAATAAAGCCCCGCATGGCAGTTCTTGCAGAGTTTTCCTTTGCTATTACGGATGGGCTGGATCTGTGGGTGTGGCCGGGAGTTCAGAAAATTAGCAGTGAACTCCCTACAATGACACACTAGTTAGGGAAATAGTGGAAATGGAAGTTTGTTCTTCCATGGCACAGCAGAAAGGAACGAGGCACAGTGACGGGTCTTTCCTAGGTTACCTTAGTGAGTGGCAGCTGAGGTGACCTCACCCCTTGCTTGACCCTGGGCACAGGTTTCTCTACCAGTGCATGGATAGAGTAGTTTCCGTGGGAAGGAAAAGAAGAAACAGACGGACTCTCTAGAGCAGAGTGGTTTCAGGGAAGCTGAAGCTTTAAAGGGGCTGGAACTCCGGCAGAAATGAAATTAGATCAAAATAAACACCACATGCAAGTCTTCAACAGGAAGCGGCCAGAAAAGCTCCAACCAGATTCCAGATGTAATTTGCAGGATTGTGACTGGAGAAATTTCATTTTCGAATCAGATCAAAGAAGGAAGGAAGGAAGGAAGGAAGGAAGGAAGGAAGGAAGGAAGGAAGGAAGGAAGGAAGGACCCTTGAGATGGTTTCTCAAATGCATGGCTCAGAAACCAAAAAGCTGAGCATCGCTAACTCACGCCTGTAGTCCCAGCACCAGTGAGGATGATACAGGAGGACTGCTAGGAGTTTGGGGCAAGCCTGGGCTACATAGAGGTGGCCCAGTGAGACCAGGTCAGAAATAGAATAGACACATTGTTTGAAGGAGGGCCTCAGATTGCTTCGCAGAATCAAGCTCCGGGGAGCAGGTATGGGCAGGACTCGCCACAGGACTGCCAGCGTAACCATGGGAGAGAATAGGGAAAGTAGTCTCCATCTCTGCCCTGTGTCTGGGATGAAAGAGCAGAAACCGCAGAATGAACTGTAGAAGCGACCTGAGCTCTGCCTGAGGCTGTGTGTATCTGCAGGAGGTCTGTGCACTTAAGTAGCACTCAGAAGAGACGTATGCATGTTAGGTCTACTCTCCTCGCACCTGACAGATGTATCTGCCCACAGCAAACTACATACATGTGCCTACTCATCTCTATAGTGATTTCTAACTTCCGTGCCATGGGGACAGAGAACCGAACTTGGGACCTGGGATGGTTGCAAAGTGCCACATGAGTAGTTATACGGTAAAAGGAAAACAAGTTCTTCTTCTTCTTTTTTTTTTTTTTTTTTTTTTTTGGTCAAAAGAAAAACCAGTTTAAAAACCAGAGTCTTGCTATGTAGCCCTGTCTGACCTTGAACCTGAGCATTGTGATTCCATTGAACACCATGCCTGTCCATTTCATTAACGACATTACTCAGATTAGATCTAAGGTAGTAGCAAGTAGCCTCCATGTTTTAGTAAAAATCGTGTGAATCAGAGAACCAAACTTGTTGACGTTTCTGATGTTCTAATAGTCTGCAACATATTGCAAGAGCCATCTCATGGCAGAAAGCAAGTTGCTATTCCTGCATACCTACCATGGTGGTGAAGCACAATGCTTGATAGCCTTTGGCCCTTCGGAGTGGTATTTAGCCAACCCATTTACCGAGTAATCCATAATCCAGAGACCAGAGCGTCAAAGGCTTTGAAGCAAGTCTGGCTTTAGCGCTAGCTGCTCTGCCATCTGGAGCTTTAGACCCAACAGGTCCGATGACGCGGGAATGAACAGATAGAGAGATTCTGTACGGAGCCTTGACAAATGCCAA